ATATTTGATACATTAAAATAGAAAATAAAATTATTAATAATAAAAGAAGAAAATAAAGATTCAGAGCATGACGACTTATTCCTGAAAATTAGTTTTGGTTCCTGTAATAAAAGTTTTAAATATTTTTCAATATAATTAAAAAATGTTTTGATTTTAACACACCTCCATTAATATATTCCATTACTATAATTTAATATAAAATAATTAAAATTTACTAAAAGGTAATGGGTGTTACAGATTAAGAAACAATTTTTAAATAAATTTCTTTTAAAAATTACTATTTATCTACTTAACCTTTTAAGAACATTTCTCTTAACAGTTAAACAAACTTAATAAAAAATTATCTATTTCTAAATATATCTTACAAGTTTTAAGAAGATAAGCAAAATGATAAGAATCCTTTTTATACAATAAATTAATTTTAGTGATATATAATATATATATATATATTTGTAATGTTAAGACTATGTTTTGGTTCATCATTGACCTTTCATCTATCTGAATGGGTTTGTCAGGGTTGGGATGATTGAGTGATAGAATTCAAGCCCCAAGGGCCTGATGATGTTGGAGGGACTAGATCTATAAGAACACTTGCACAAATATATAGGATAGAAATGGCACTTTTTAGTTGTCAAGTGGGAGAAAAAAACGTGTTGAAAGTGGGTCCTGAAATGTACCAAAGTGTGAATTTCTCCTCTGTTCTCAGGTTGTATGTCACAAGGAGTGAGCTTGGGAAAGTCGTCAGAGATTTATGGCATTTGTGATAGTAGTGTATCTTGAACTGAACTTAAGAACTGTGAAATAAACTTGGTTATTTTATTGGAGTTGTAGAGTGTTTAATTTATTGGATATGTTTTCCTTCGTATCTTCATGGGGAACCCTCTAAGTTAATGAGAACTTCCCGATATATTTTAAAAAATTATTATTTTTTCATATCTATAAGAACAGAAAACTGAAAATTAAGATTCTTGCAATAAAATAAATGAATAAATGAAAAACCAATTTGGATATTTATGTTTATTCTAACTGATTAATAAATAAAAATTACCTCGATTTTAGATTTCTAAATTTTCTTTAAGATTCTCTATTAATGTATTCTATTTATCCTGATAAAAAGTTATAATTAATGTATATTTCCGACAAAAAACTAGCACAAGTACAGTCGACCCCCCTATAACACTGTTGATAATTCTGTATTATATGAAATCCATGTTGTATGAGTCACTTAGATTTTACAAATACGTGAGCCGTTCACAGCCCGGCACACGTATTTGTAAAATCTAAGTGACTCATACAACATGGATTTCATATAATACAGAATTATCAACAGTGTTATAGGGGGGTCGACTGTACTTGTGCTAGTTTTTTGTCGGAAATATACATTAATTATAACTTTTTATCAGGATAAATAGAATACATTAATAGAGAATCTTAAAGAAAATTTAGAAATCTAAAATCGAGGTAATTTTTATTTATTAATCAGTTAGAATAAACATAAATATCCAAATTGGTTTTTCATTTATTCATTTATTTTATTGCAAGAATCTTAATTTTCAGTTTTCTGTTCTTATAGATATGAAAAAATAATAATTTTTTAAAATATATCGGGAAGTTCTCATTAACTTAGAGGGTTCCCCATGAAGATACGAAGGAAAACATATCCAATAAATTAAACACTCTACAACTCCAATAAAATAACCAAGTTTATTTCACAGTTCTTAAGTTCAGTTCAAGATACACTACTATCACAAATGCCATAAATCTCTGACGACTTTCCCAAGCTCACTCCTTGTGACATACAACCTGAGAACAGAGGAGAAATTCACACTTTGGTACATTTCAGGACCCACTTTCAACACGTTTTTTTCTCCCACTTGACAACTAAAAAGTGCCATTTCTATCCTATATATTTGTGCAAGTGTTCTTATAGATCTAGTCCCTCCAACATCATCAGGCCCTTGGGGCTTGAATTCTATCACTCAATCATCCCAACCCTGACAAACCCATTCAGATAGATGAAAGGTCAATGATGAACCAAAACATAGTCTTAACATTACAAATATATATATATATATTATATATCACTAAAATTAATTTATTGTATAAAAAGGATTCTTATCATTTTGCTTATCTTCTTAAAACTTGTAAGATATATTTAGAAATAGATAATTTTTTATTAAGTTTGTTTAACTGTTAAGAGAAATGTTCTTAAAAGGTTAAGTAGATAAATAGTAATTTTTAAAAGAAATTTATTTAAAAATTGTTTCTTAATCTGTAACACCCATTACCTTTTAGTAAATTTTAATTATTTTATATTAAATTATAGTAATGGAATATATTAATGGAGGTGTGTTAAAATCAAAACATTTTTTAATTATATTGAAAAATATTTAAAACTTTTATTACAGGAACCAAAACTAATTTTCAGGAATAAGTCGTCATGCTCTGAATCTTTATTTTCTTCTTTTATTATTAATAATTTTATTTTCTATTTTAATGTATCAAATATAACAAAATTTATTTCTGAAAATAGTTTTGCTTTTATTTTTTAAGTCTTTCTTTTTCTGCATAAGTAACTTTTATAAAATATTAATTTTTGTTCTATTTTTTTAAAAAAGAAAAAGTCTGTGGGTAAATTTTATTTTAAAGCAGTTTTGCAAGTTGATTTGATTAAATTAAAATAAGATAAACAAAAGTCTAGGTCAGCTGAAATATACTAGAAAATTGATTTGTTGTTTGAAATTTTAACAATCTCTATCAATTTATATACAGTAAGAATTTTTGAAACTTTAAGTCAAGAAGTATGAATGCTTGTTACGGTTTTAAGAGTTGCATTTGCTAAAATTCATTTTATGTTTAATAATTTATTTAATGATATATTATATGAATGATGAAGATATCAATCATTTCTGTACTCATTGTGAAAAATTTATAATAAAACTCTTTCAGTAATTACTCTGTCTGTCTGTATATTGATAACATTACAAATTGGCACATTTAGCTTTTTTTAGTAGTCATGATACACTTAAAATGTTATGATGATATGGTACACATCTTGATGTATTGTTCTGTATTTCTGTTTTCATTTAGTTTTTGTCTATATTGAGTGTGTTTATTTATTGTATATTGTGTCAAACCTTTGTTTTCCCTGCCTCATGTATTGTGTTTCCTTTCAAAGCAAAACTTAAAAAGTACATAAAAATCAATATGCTTGCAGTCACCTGCACTCTCTTAGACTGCATTTGAGAAATTTTGAAGAATCTGTGTCTTTTTCTGTTATGTACATATGTCTGTATATCTGTACGTATATGTATTGTATGTTTGTTCTCCTTTGTTAATAGTGTAGATACCTTTAATCCTTCCCATATTACTCTAAGCCATTTTGTATAATGCTGCATGCCATAATGCTTAAAATTTTCTTTCTATTTAACCTTCAAATATGCTTTTTCTTTTATGAATCAATATTATCTTTTAATTTAATGTTAATATATATTTTATTTTTCATTTTTTTATTAAATAGGATGTTTCTAAAAACATGCTGAAATATTTTTGTATGAAAGTATTTTTTTCTTTTTTGTCAAAGCTTATTCTTTCTTGTATTATTTCTAAAATTCTGCTTTTTCAAGTTATTTCTGTTATCAGAGCATGATGACTTCAGGCTGTATTATATTAAAATATATGTATGTATATATATATATAAATGAAGATATATATTACATTTTTGTACAGTCTGATCTTGAAAAAAAATCATGTTTTGCTTCTAGTATTTTTAGCACTTATTTACGNTACAACATGGATTTCATATAAAACAGAATTATCAACAGTGTTTTAGGGGGGTCGACTGTATATTGTTGTGGTTAGTATATTTCCTCCTGATTAATTTACTATTACACTCAATTATTTTTAATTAAAAATTAACAAATACTTTAAAACTATAACAATATTTAAACAATTGAAAATAAAAATTTCATATAACATTATATTAATTTTTATTGTTCTGAAGAATGTAAACAATCAATATTCATTTTCTCAGTATATAAACCATAGATTTTTTTCTTTATTTATTTAGTACTTTTGTCAGAACTTTGTTCCCATCCTGAGAATCAAACTAGTTTTTTTCTGAAGTTCACAGCTCTTTTTTTTCTAATTAAAAAAATAATGCACATGAAACATCACTAAAACTATTAATTTTAATTACAAAAATCAGATTTGAAACTTTGAAAATAAGAAGTTTAAAAGAATTAAGAGAATGAAAGCAAGAGTTTTGAAAGTAGTAAATAAATAAAGAAAATCTATAGTTTCCATATTGAATGAGGCTGATTGTTTATATTCTTATTACAGATTAAAATAAATTAAAATTTTATTCTCAAGAAAAATTAAATATGATAAACAGAAAATATAGAGTCTGTGCATGATGAGTTGGCCCCTGCAGTTTTCCCTTTATGCTATATGAAACACTGAAGTATTAGGAAAACTTAAATTTTTTTATAAGTTGATTTGTAATTTTGCTTGCTTTAGCCTTATTATTCATGTTTTTGTTTTAAAGAAATTGGTCAGTTAGTAATATTTAAAAATGAATTCTAGTCTAATGCAAAAAATGGGATAACTGTTAGAAATAAAGTCAGTAACATTATATTCCACTACAAAAAGTAAAATCTAAATACTACAGCACCAGAAAATACAAGTTAAAGGAGAACTAAAGGACCAGTTCATTGTGCATAGACTGTAGTTTAATACAAAAATTCTTACTGTATATAAATTGATAGAGATTGTTAAAATTTCAAACAACAAATCAATTTTCTAGTATATTTCAGCTGACCTAGACTTTTGTTTATCTTATTTTAATTTAATCAAATCAACTTGCAAAACTGCTTTAAAATAAAATTTACCCACAGACTTTTTCTTTTTTAAAAAAATAGAACAAAAATTAATATTTTATAAAAGTTACTTATGCAGAAAAAGAAAGACTTAAAAAATAAAAGCAAAACTATTTTCAGAAATAAATTTTGTTATATTTGATACATTAAAATAGAAAATAAAATTATTAATAATAAAAGAAGAAAATAAAGATTCAGAGCATGACGACTTATTCCTGAAAATTAGTTTTGGTTCCTGTAATAAAAGTTTTAAATATTTTTCAATATAATTAAAAAATGTTTTGATTTTAACACACCTCCATTAATATATTCCATTACTATAATTTAATATAAAATAATTAAAATTTACTAAAAGGTAATGGGTGTTACAGATTAAGAAACAATTTTTAAATAAATTTCTTTTAAAAATTACTATTTATCTACTTAACCTTTTAAGAACATTTCTCTTAACAGTTAAACAAACTTAATAAAAAATTATCTATTTCTAAATATATCTTACAAGTTTTAAGAAGATAAGCAAAATGATAAGAATCCTTTTTATACAATAAATTAATTTTAGTGATATATAATATATATATATATATTTGTAATGTTAAGACTATGTTTTGGTTCATCATTGACCTTTCATCTATCTGAATGGGTTTGTCAGGGTTGGGATGATTGAGTGATAGAATTCAAGCCCCAAGGGCCTGATGATGTTGGAGGGACTAGATCTATAAGAACACTTGCACAAATATATAGGATAGAAATGGCACTTTTTAGTTGTCAAGTGGGAGAAAAAAACGTGTTGAAAGTGGGTCCTGAAATGTACCAAAGTGTGAATTTCTCCTCTGTTCTCAGGTTGTATGTCACAAGGAGTGAGCTTGGGAAAGTCGTCAGAGATTTATGGCATTTGTGATAGTAGTGTATCTTGAACTGAACTTAAGAACTGTGAAATAAACTTGGTTATTTTATTGGAGTTGTAGAGTGTTTAATTTATTGGATATGTTTTCCTTCGTATCTTCATGGGGAACCCTCTAAGTTAATGAGAACTTCCCGATATATTTTAAAAAATTATTATTTTTTCATATCTATAAGAACAGAAAACTGAAAATTAAGATTCTTGCAATAAAATAAATGAATAAATGAAAAACCAATTTGGATATTTATGTTTATTCTAACTGATTAATAAATAAAAATTACCTCGATTTTAGATTTCTAAATTTTCTTTAAGATTCTCTATTAATGTATTCTATTTATCCTGATAAAAAGTTATAATTAATGTATATTTCCGACAAAAAACTAGCACAAGTACAGTCGACCCCCCTATAACACTGTTGATAATTCTGTATTATATGAAATCCATGTTGTATGAGTCACTTAGATTTTACAAATACGTGAGCCGTTCACAGCCCGGCACACGTATTTGTAAAATCTAAGTGACTCATACAACATGGATTTCATATAATACAGAATTATCAACAGTGTTATAGGGGGGTCGACTGTACTTGTGCTAGTTTTTTGTCGGAAATATACATTAATTATAACTTTTTATCAGGATAAATAGAATACATTAATAGAGAATCTTAAAGAAAATTTAGAAATCTAAAATCGAGGTAATTTTTATTTATTAATCAGTTAGAATAAACATAAATATCCAAATTGGTTTTTCATTTATTCATTTATTTTATTGCAAGAATCTTAATTTTCAGTTTTCTGTTCTTATAGATATGAAAAAATAATAATTTTTTAAAATATATCGGGAAGTTCTCATTAACTTAGAGGGTTCCCCATGAAGATACGAAGGAAAACATATCCAATAAATTAAACACTCTACAACTCCAATAAAATAACCAAGTTTATTTCACAGTTCTTAAGTTCAGTTCAAGATACACTACTATCACAAATGCCATAAATCTCTGACGACTTTCCCAAGCTCACTCCTTGTGACATACAACCTGAGAACAGAGGAGAAATTCACACTTTGGTACATTTCAGGACCCACTTTCAACACGTTTTTTTCTCCCACTTGACAACTAAAAAGTGCCATTTCTATCCTATATATTTGTGCAAGTGTTCTTATAGATCTAGTCCCTCCAACATCATCAGGCCCTTGGGGCTTGAATTCTATCACTCAATCATCCCAACCCTGACAAACCCATTCAGATAGATGAAAGGTCAATGATGAACCAAAACATAGTCTTAACATTACAAATATATATATATATATTATATATCACTAAAATTAATTTATTGTATAAAAAGGATTCTTATCATTTTGCTTATCTTCTTAAAACTTGTAAGATATATTTAGAAATAGATAATTTTTTATTAAGTTTGTTTAACTGTTAAGAGAAATGTTCTTAAAAGGTTAAGTAGATAAATAGTAATTTTTAAAAGAAATTTATTTAAAAATTGTTTCTTAATCTGTAACACCCATTACCTTTTAGTAAATTTTAATTATTTTATATTAAATTATAGTAATGGAATATATTAATGGAGGTGTGTTAAAATCAAAACATTTTTTAATTATATTGAAAAATATTTAAAACTTTTATTACAGGAACCAAAACTAATTTTCAGGAATAAGTCGTCATGCTCTGAATCTTTATTTTCTTCTTTTATTATTAATAATTTTATTTTCTATTTTAATGTATCAAATATAACAAAATTTATTTCTGAAAATAGTTTTGCTTTTATTTTTTAAGTCTTTCTTTTTCTGCATAAGTAACTTTTATAAAATATTAATTTTTGTTCTATTTTTTTAAAAAAGAAAAAGTCTGTGGGTAAATTTTATTTTAAAGCAGTTTTGCAAGTTGATTTGATTAAATTAAAATAAGATAAACAAAAGTCTAGGTCAGCTGAAATATACTAGAAAATTGATTTGTTGTTTGAAATTTTAACAATCTCTATCAATTTATATACAGTAAGAATTTTTGAAACTTTAAGTCAAGAAGTATGAATGCTTGTTACGGTTTTAAGAGTTGCATTTGCTAAAATTCATTTTATGTTTAATAATTTATTTAATGATATATTATATGAATGATGAAGATATCAATCATTTCTGTACTCATTGTGAAAAATTTATAATAAAACTCTTTCAGTAATTACTCTGTCTGTCTGTATATTGATAACATTACAAATTGGCACATTTAGCTTTTTTTAGTAGTCATGATACACTTAAAATGTTATGATGATATGGTACACATCTTGATGTATTGTTCTGTATTTCTGTTTTCATTTAGTTTTTGTCTATATTGAGTGTGTTTATTTATTGTATATTGTGTCAAACCTTTGTTTTCCCTGCCTCATGTATTGTGTTTCCTTTCAAAGCAAAACTTAAAAAGTACATAAAAATCAATATGCTTGCAGTCACCTGCACTCTCTTAGACTGCATTTGAGAAATTTTGAAGAATCTGTGTCTTTTTCTGTTATGTACATATGTCTGTATATCTGTACGTATATGTATTGTATGTTTGTTCTCCTTTGTTAATAGTGTAGATACCTTTAATCCTTCCCATATTACTCTAAGCCATTTTGTATAATGCTGCATGCCATAATGCTTAAAATTTTCTTTCTATTTAACCTTCAAATATGCTTTTTCTTTTATGAATCAATATTATCTTTTAATTTAATGTTAATATATATTTTATTTTTCATTTTTTTATTAAATAGGATGTTTCTAAAAACATGCTGAAATATTTTTGTATGAAAGTATTTTTTTCTTTTTTGTCAAAGCTTATTCTTTCTTGTATTATTTCTAAAATTCTGCTTTTTCAAGTTATTTCTGTTATCAGAGCATGATGACTTCAGGCTGTATTATATTAAAATATATGTATGTATATATATATATAAATGAAGATATATATTACATTTTTGTACAGTCTGATCTTGAAAAAAAATCATGTTTTGCTTCTAGTATTTTTAGCACTTATTTACGAAGGACAGGTGCCTGTCTTTTCGTAAGCAAAATACTATGTGCATAGTATGAGTCGTGATCCGTCTTCATTTTTCAGGCCAAAAAAAGTCAGCCAAAATTTTAGCAAGGAGACGGAGACGGCTTATGCTTGCATCTTTAAAGCATTTTCTGTTTAACATCCCCATTTGTTTTATTTCTTCTTTCCTAGACTGACCACTTCGTCAATTACACGTGACGTTGTCTCTCGTGGCGTGCATCCGTCTCCCTGTCCCATCCCTCACCCCCCACGGGTGTCAGTGTTGTCCTTCTCTGGGGCCCAGGAATTGGTATCCCAGGGTGGAATTTTGTCTGTCCAGACTCCGGATGCTTCCAGGTGTGCGTCAGTTGGTGGTTCCTTTTTACAGCATAATGTGGAAACCCACGGCGACAAGGCTCGAATCAGGACTTTCTTCAATAACTACCGTCCCTATGTACAAAGTTGGCATGCGAGGTGTTTTACCATAACCCACCATTATATGGCATGCCTTGTTTCAGTTTGTAGCTGATTTAGTTCCCATTTGCACATTTGGTTATATATATATATATATATATACACACAAATATATTATTATTAAAAAAGATAATTGGAAATTTTCTTTATAATTTTATTTTGGATCTTTCGGTTATGGCAGCTGCCACACAGCTTTTTATTTTAAAACACATTTGTGTGTTAGACATATTTCATATTTTGTTGCATTATGTATAATTTTACATATTATGTAAAAATTATGCATAATGATAATTAAATATGGCAGCTTTAAATTCAGTTGCAATTTTATCATAACTGGAGTTATTTTTTACACCATAATGTGCTTAAAAAGAAAAAAAATAAGAGAAAACAAAATGGTGAAGTTCGGAAATAAAATTAATTTTATCTTTTTCTTCTCTCTTTGAGGTTTTTTTAAGCCATGTAATGTGATTCTCAACAACCGAGCTTCATTGACAGTATTATATAGTAGCCCATAATGGGAGCTGCCTATCACNAACTAACTATAACTAAAAGTGGATTACTTATTTTATGTATATAATAATAAATAAATTTAAACAGGTACCGCACATACATTTATTTATTATTATTTGATAAGTATCTATATATATATAAAAATGAATGTATGTCTGTCTGTTCATTACCACACCGTTTATCTGATTGCCATTAAGCTTTGGGAAGTTTTTTAATACACTCCGATGAAGGTTTCTGGCATAGTACATTTATCCTATGATAGATGGCGCGCATGTATACGAGCATTTTACTGTGTGTTCGATCAATTTCAAATTGTAAAGACCATTTCTCCCCTCCAAAAAATCTCTCTATATATGAATCTGTGAACTGTTATTTACAATATTTGTAATAATTTTTGTTTAATCACTTTATTTCAACTTTTTTTTTGCTAATTATGTATTCGCTCAAACTTTGTTAAAATCGTAACTGTATCCTGAACAACAACTGAAGTTGTAGGAGGAAATTCGCCTATTTTACCGATCTAGGTATCCCCTTTTCCAAATTTTAATATCAACTCAAAATAATTTAAAAAGACAAATTACAATAAAATGATTTATTATCCAACTTTCCGAAATTTCACAACATGCCAAGGAAGAGAGGAAGGAGCAATTATATAGTTAAAATTATAAAGGATTAAAATATATATATAAAAATGGGGAATATTGCACTTCTGACAATCGCTGCAAGTGTGTGGGCTAAATTTGGAGAATCCGTGCTTCTCGCATAGACAACTGTATGTGGCCAGCTCACGCATTGGAAAACCTGATTTATTCGTGTACACACCAGACGGAAAAACAAAAAATATCGTGTATCCACAAGCACTCCAATAAATAAATAGAATTGAAACAACACTTTGAAATGTTTTCCCGATGAAAATGAATAATAATAATAAGTTTCAATAAAAAT